TATAAGATGTATAGAAATATTCACTATTATTATGATTATTCTTTCATTATTCCATGCTGCATCATCAATCTTTAAAAATTATATACATTTTAATCAGCTTGATAAATTTTGGTATAATGTTAAATGAAAATATGAGAATACAAAATTGTATCTGGGCCAGACGTGATGGCTCACGCCTGTAATCCTAGCACTCTGGGAGGCTGAGGCAGGCAGATCATTTGAGCTCAGGAGTTCTAGACCAGCCTGAGCAAGAGTGAGACCCGTCTCTACCAAAAATAGAAAAAATTAGCTGGGCATGGTGGTGCATGCCTGTAGTCCCAGCTATTCAGGAGACTGAGGCAGAAGGATCAGTTGAGCCCAGGATTTTGACGTTGCTGTGAGCTAGGCTGACGCCACAGCAGTCTAGCTGGGGCAACTGAGACTCTGTCTCACACACAAAAAAACTTGTATGTGTGCTATGATTATAATAATATAAAAAACATACAAATGGACAAGAATTAGAAGATCCACTGAAAGTTCTGGTTTTTGGAAATTCACTTTGGTGAATTTATTTTCTTTTATTTTTTATTTTCTTTTTTTTTTTAAATGTCAAAATCCTGGGCTCAAGCGAACCTCCTGCCTCAGCCTCCCGAGTAGCTGGGACTACAGGTGCTTACCACCACACCTGGCTAATTTTTTCTGTTTTTAGTAGAGATGGGGTCTCACTCTTGCTCAGGATGGTCTCAAACTCCTGACCTCAAGCGATCCTCCCGCTTTGGCCTTCCAAAGTGCTAGGTTTACAGGCGTGAGCCACCTCCTCCGACCTAATTTGTTTTCTTTTTACTTGCAATAATACTGTTTTATAAGAATAACAATAAGGGCTTATTTTTGAAAGTACCTTTAAGAAATTTTCAATAGTGTGGTTGCATTCTGCTCTTTCCTGTTGTATAAAACTATACTAACTGGCACTTACTGTCAAGCTAGGCCCTTTGAGAGACTCTGTCATTGGCCAAAGCAAGACACTATTGCATAAAAATTAACTTCATAGGCTCTGAAATAAGACAGATCTACATTAAATTTATGGAGTTTTTTGTTTGTTTGTTTGTTTCACTATTGCATAAAAATTAACTTCATAGGCTCTGAAATAAGACAGATCTACATTAAATTTATGGAGTTTTTTGTTTGTTTGTTTGTTTTATTTTTTAGCATAAATGATGTAGTTCTAGTGTTTGTTTGTTTTTTGAGACAGCATCTTGCTTTGTCACCCAGGTTGGAGTGCAGTAGCACAATCACAGTTCACTGTAACCTTGAACTCCTGGCCTCAAGGGATCCTGGCCTCCCAAAGTGCTGGGTTTACAGGCATGAGCCACCGCCCCTGCCAGATCTAGGTTAAATTTCATCTCTATGGCTGAACAGTTGAGTGAGTTTAGGCCAATTACTTAACATCTCAGAGCTTCAGTTTCCTCATCTGTAAGTCACGGATCATAACCATAGCTACTTCATAGGTTTTTTTTTTTTTTTTAATGAGAAGTAAATAAGATAATGAATGTTGATGCTTACTTGACACCCCACCCAGACTATCACAATTATAATTAAGTATTTAATAGAGTAATTAATTTTTTAATGTCTGATTTTCTAAGACAATCTCTAATGTCTTTGAAAATAAGCTCTGCTTAAGCATGGAGCATAACATTGCATTCCCAGCATCTAGCATGTTGCTTTGCACATAGTAAGCACTCAATAAATACTTGAGTGAATGTATAAAAATCTTATATGGGTAGTTAGCAGCAGCTTTAACTACAGAAATGTTTTCGAATTTAGTCTTGGCACAGGGAAAAGGCCTAAGCAGCATGGCATTGGCTTCAGCTGTCACAGCAGGACTGCCCCATCTAATTATGAATACAGTCGTCCCTCAGTATCTGTATGGCATTGGTTCTAGAACCCCCAGAGATACCAAAATCTGTGGATGCTCAAGTCCTTTGTCTAAAATGGTATAGTATTTACACATTCTACATATATCCTCCCATATGCTTTCAATCATCTCTAGATTATTTATCATACCTAATACAATGTAAATACTAGGTAAATAGTTGGTATAGTGTATTTTTTATTTGTCATTTTGTTTCTTTGTTTTTCCAAATATTTCAATTCACAGTTGATTGAATCTGAGGATATGGAATTGGGGGATATGGAGGGCCATCTGTATTGTGCTCTGTACAAAAATACTTGGCCAAAAGGGAAGTAGGTACTGAAATCTGAGCCATGGACCTGGGGGTGGGAGGTGGAGGTTAAGATTCACAGGGTATCTACCTGGAAAGAGAGGTGCCTTTTAGTAATTCCCACAAAGGTACCACCATGTAAGCTAACAGTGGCTTTGTGTCACAGAATCAGTCCTAGACCTCAGAAACATCAACTCCTGGGAGAATACATTAAGGCTCATGGTGGGATATGGAATAGAACCAGATGATTGATTCTGTCACCAAATTATCAACTATTTGGCATGTTCCTTAATCTCCATAAGTCTCTGTTTTTTATTTTTCGTTTGTTTTTTTTTTTTGGAGACAGAGTCTCACTATGTTGCCCAGGCTGGTCTTGATCTCCTGGGCTCAAAGAATCCTCCCACCTCTGCTTCCTAAGTAGCTAGGGTTACAGTAGTGAGCCACTGTGCCCACCTTGTTTTCTAACTCTCCAGTTTTTTAACTCTCTTGTTTTCTAGCCCTCCAATTTAATGGCATTATTTACCTGATCCAAGCAAGCAATCTGGCCCCATTCACTATTTCCCTACTCCCCCAAAGCTTGCTCTCTCTCTGGTGTTTCATCTGAACCTTTAGGTGGGGCTGAGAGCAAGACTGTTTTTCCACTGGAGGACGTGAGTCAGTGAACAGTGAGGTTCCACTTAATCACCACCCAAAAAACAAGGTCCTTGCGATCAGGAGCTAGAAAAGCAAGGAAGTGATTAATATAAAAATCAGGCTAGTGATTATCCCTTAGGGCAGGACAGGGCATAGAGGTGGGGGTGGGGCTTGATGGGGAAAGGGTCTTCTGAGATCTGACAGTGTTCTGTTTCTTGACTTGGGTGGTGGTTGCACTGGTGACGGTTGCTTTATAATTACACTTACATATTTTATGTACTTTTCTAAATGTATCATATTCGACAATTTGAAACAGCTTAAAAAACACAAACTATAAAAAGTTTTTAGGCAGAGAAAAAAATGACCAGATTTTTGTTATTAAAAGATCACTTGGGTGTTGAACTGAAAAATTGATTGAAGGAGGGGCAATGCTAGAGGCAGAGAAACCAGTTAGGAGGTAGCTGCTATATTTTGGTGAGAGTAATGACCTGAGGTAAGAAAAGGTAAAATATTAGTGATGTAGTATACATTATTTTTAAAAACAACCAAAATAAAACATAGGCTGGCACTGCCCCTCAGCTCACTTTTTACCTCTATGCCTTGGGTGACTTTGGCTTAGGAATTATAGTCCAGGGGAAGGCACATGTCTAAACAGATACATGGGCTAGGACTTCCTCCCTACCTCTTCACTGTCCAGAAGGGCTCAGACTGCCTGGCTAGTGCCAGCGATAGCACATTTTTCATGATGCCACAATATTATCCAAGTTGAGCTGACATAGGGGTTTTTGTCATAATATCTAATCACTCAACCATAACATTTAATCACTCAATACTTTCATAGTATTTTCTACTGCCTGGTGCCAGAATGTTAGCTCCATGACAGCAAAAGTTTTTGTTCTTTTTGTTCACTACTGTATCTTTAGTGCTTAGAATGGACCTTGGTACATAGTAGGTGCTCAATAAATAGTACGGAATAAGTGACCATATTTAATGATTATTGATATTTAATCATCACAACAATCCTGTGAGCATAGGTAGAACATAAATTATCTCCATTTTGTAAGTTAGAAAACAAGCTGGGCACAGTGGCTTACTCCTGTAATCCCAGCTACTTAGGAGGCAGAGGTGGGAGGGTCTGTTGAGCCCAGGACATCAAGACCAGCCTGGGCAACATAGTGAGATTCTGTCTCTAAAAAGCAAACAAAAAATAAAAAACAGAGATTTAAGAAGATTAAGGAACATGCCAAATAGTTGATAATTTGGTGACAGAATCATGATTTAATTTCAGGTTTTGGCCTTCAATTCCCTTGCTTTTCCACTTTTTCACAACTGAAAAGCTAGAGTTTAAAGTTATTATAGCTCTGAAACACCAGCTGGAAATATTCTAAAATACAGGATAGGTACTGTCAAACATCCTATGTTATCTCATGTGCCAGCTTATCAGGTGAATGAGGCCTACCCAGCTGCCATTGCATCAATAATCACAATTCCCTTAAAGGAGGAGATGCATTGTTCTTCTGGGTAATCAAATCTGCTTGACGCCAGACTACCTTGTCCTCAAGTTTCTCACCATGACCCTGTCTGTCTCTACTCCCCACCCTAGCCATTCCATTTCTCCAAGCAAAAGAAGTTAAGGAAACCCTATTAATGAAAAACCACATGTTCTAATATTTTTATAGGAAAAAAGAGAAGAAAGAAATGTGGCAGTGAGTAGTTTTTAATGCCCTTAAAAAACCTTTGTCATCCAAATAGAATCCCATGGGGAGGCTAAAAAATATAATATTCCATGAAAAGTTAATTTTGGTCTCTTTTTAATATTAATTAAAATTAGTGATTTGAACTATTAACCACAAGTCAGATACCTGAAGAACTCAGGTTGTTCAATTAATATTAGTATGCATACATCTGGAGTGGTATATGTCTTCTGTAGGATTCCCAGCCAAACTCTTAAGAATTAGAATTAGCAAACAAAATATTAAAATGAATATTTTTAAGAGAATTCCTAAAATACACACAAACCAAAGAAGTCATACTTTTAGGTTGCCTTCTTCCCCTCCAAGATCTTATAATTACTTTATCCCAAGAGCAATTTGGTCTAGAAAGTTGGACCACCATAGTCAGTTAAATACTGTATGTAACTACCCTGAGAGTGTCACACACAGGACTCACCAAAAATTCATTGGAAAGCTCCTCTTTGTTAATTTTCTTGTTCTGGGCCTCATCCAGGAACTTCTGCAGGATTTCTCTTTGGTCCATGCTGCAGAGCAAGAGAAATAGTCTATCAGTGTGTTGAGAGAGGGCATGTCAAATGTGTGTCATGGCCGAGACACTACCGAGAAGCCACTGCTGCTGCCTGTGCAGAGCATGCTGAAGGCTGTGGTTAACTGACTTCATCACAAGCCCTAGAGGAAATTAGTATGCAACCAGCCTCTGTGGTCACACAACAAAGCCATCATCTCACTCCAGGGCCCTAGTGCCTTCCTTCTTAACAAAGAAACCTGGTTATAATTCAAGTTTTTAGCAAATAAGAGGCTAACCAAAACAAAAAAAAAATGTGATCTGCTTAGTTCTGAGACTTCTACTTCATCACCCTTAAGCAAAATTCAACTTTCTTCTTGCTTCCCAGAAAAAAGGCAGAATTACAGCTCTCATAGATGAGTTCTGCCTCTCCTCATTTTCCTAATGAGCACAGAGGCCCAGTTAATACTTTCGGTTTCCTCATGTCCTAAATGAACTCTGCAAAGTTCAGTTAGGACCAAAAAGGAGATAGATACTGTTCGGAGTTACATATCTTCCACCTGGACTGTTCACCTAAAAGTTTCTTGTCAGTATGATTAATAACAAACTTCTGTTCATCAGAGGAGACATATTTATTCAGAACTTTAAAGTCTGCCATATGGACCTCAAATTCTCTTTGGATGAAACAAAGTCAGCTGCTTCTGACAGTCTGTGTCTTTCCCTGGGCTGGGGAAGTGCTGACCTACATTAAGGGAAGTGTTGATTTCAGCACCTCTTCAACTCACCAGTAGCGTTTGCAGCTTCACTTGGGTTCTGGATATAAAGAATGAAAGTGTTGGTTTATATAGGATCAGGAGCAAGTGGCCCCTCAAAGAGCACCTGACCAGGAAATTAGCACAATATCCCTATGTGTAATGTTGGTAAACTATGAAGAAAGAAAAAAAAAATCAACCACCTTGCTGACAACAGTGTAATTTTTAGAGCAGAAATCCTGAAGAACTGCTTTTAGAGAAGATTTTTACTCTGCAACCAATGTCTTGGAAAAAACATTGTTTCAGAAAGCTATGCTGTGTGTGTTGCATTTTGCCCCTGAGAGTCAGGTTTTTCTAGAAAAAGCTTCCTCAGCTTGCATAAGTTCTCTCCTCAATGGTTACAAATCTACCCAAATGTCTAATTCAGTGTGAGAACATCCCCAAATCAGCATACCATTTTTGTTGGAGGGCAGAAGTTCAGTAAATTATGTTAACAAAATTAGTCTTAAGTAATCCTGAAGAAAACTAGGAAATATGTTGTTAGCACTTCCTCTATTTAAGATATTAGCAATCCTTTCTATTTTGCAACATTATTCAAATTCCCTTCAGGAGTTTGGGAGATTCGGGGAAATCATGATCCTGAACACTGAAGAGGTTGCACCCTCTTTATTGAGCACTACAATAAGAAAGGAAAGGTCTGGCCGGGTGTGGTGGCTCACACCTGTAATCCTAGCACTATGGGAGGCGGGCAGATTGCTCGAGATCAGGAGTTCGAAACCAACCTGAGCAAGAGTGAGACCCCGTCTCTACTATAAAGAAATTAATTGGCCAACTAATATATGTAGAAAAAATTAGCTGGGCACTGCGTGGTGCAATGCTGTAGTCAGCTACTCGGGAGGCTGAGGCGGAGGATACGGCTTCGACCAGGAGTTCGAGTTGGTTGTGAGCTGGAGTCATCGATTGGTCATCTCTAGCCTGGGCAACAAAGTGAGACTGTGTCTCAAACAAAAGAGCAAAAAAGAAAAAGAAAGAAGAAAGAAGAAATAAAGAGAAAGAAAACGAGAGAGAGAGGAGAGGAGCAGGGGACGCGTGGAGAGAGACAGAGAGAGGAGAGAGAGGGAGGAGGCGGAGGAGGGAGGGAGGGAGGCGAGGGAGGGAGGGGGAGGAGGGAGGAAGGAAAGCTCATTCGATAGTATTCTGGCGGGTTATGGACAGCCTAAAGACAATATTCCAAATAAAGTATTTCAGTTCCAGTCCACATAAATTCTTCAGAAATATTTTTGGGAATAGGGTATTTCTCAAATTCATCGGCCCAATTAGCACTTAAGACGGAGAAAGAGAGAATTTCTTGCTGCTCTAAATAATATGATGTTTACTTTTGCTATTTTAAAACATAAAGCATGGGAAAGCTTTACATTTAGAAAAATACAAGATTTCAAATTTACAACTAAAATCATGTAAAAATATGTACATAAACAAAGGTTAAAAGTTGCAAAAAAGAATCAGTTGTATGAGTGTGATGGGATTATGGATCCTTTGGAAAATTATTATACCATTTTTTAAAGTTAGAAATAAAGACAAAAAGTCCATTAATTTGTTCAACAAATTTATTAAGTACTTACTAAATGCTAAGCACTATGTTAGTGAGCTGGGTATATAGTAGTGAGAAAAGATATGGTGAAAAACACCTTAAACCAGGCGTCCTCAAACTACGGCCCACGGGCCACATGTGGGTGTTTTTGCCCGTTTGTTTTTAAACTTCAAAATAAGATATGTGCAGTGTGCATAGGAATTTGTTCATAGTTTTTTAAAAACTATAATCCAGCCTCCAATGATCGAGGACAGTGAAGCTGGCCCCCTGTTTAAAAAGTTTGAGGACCCCTGCCTTAAACCAACTAATAAAGCATCTCAGAACTGAAGATATAGACTTGATTACTGATAAAATTAAAAACATTACAATTTTTTTTTTTTTGAGACAGAGTCTCACTCTGTTGCCCAGGCTTGAGTGTCGTGGTGTCAGCCTAGATCACCGCAACCTCAAACTCCTGGGCTTAAGCAATACTCCTGCCTCAACCTCCCTAGTAAAGGTACTACAGGTGTGCACCACCATGCCCAGCTAATTTTTTCTATTTTTACTTGCCTGGCTAATTATTTTTGTTTTTCTTTGTTTTTTTATTTTTATTTTTTAGTAGAGACTGGGTCTCACTCTTGCTCAGGCTGATCTCAAATTCCTGAGCTCAAGCAATCTTCCGTTGTTGGCCTCCAAGAGTGCTGGGATTACAGGTGTGAGCCACCACGCCCAGCCCAAACTAACTTGTTTAATTGCAGAGTAACAAAGCATAATCCTAAAAGGAAAATGATTTTCTATGTTTGGACAAATAGAGAATTTCGTAATCTCTCTGTCCCTTTAGAATGTTCTCACTTCCATCAAAACCAGAACTTTATTAATTTATATTAATTAGGCAAAAAGATACCTAATAAAATAAAATTTAGATCTATTTTCTTCAACCCATATTTTAGAACATTCTCTCACGAACTTTCTTGTCTCTTCTTAGGGAAGAAATAGAAATAAACATAAGAAAGAAAAATTTGCTGAGATGCCTCCATAGACCTTTTACCCAAGAACTAAGGTCTAACTAATAGTGTCTTGGCAGAACTGCAGACTTTAAAAAAAAAACAAGCAGCAATTTTTAGGAGTCTGTTTACTGTAAAACCAAAAGGTATAGAGACAATGTGAAATAACCAAACCTCAAAAACCCACTTAGCTACAAGGCCATTTCCTGAGCAGACCACTCAACCAAGGGAAAAACAAACTGTGAAAGAGAAAACAAAAAACTTCGGTTTTGTTTTTAACAAATATAAGCTACTACTTAATTTATCCTGCTTCCTTCTACAGTTACTGGAGGACAATAGGAGCATAATGCTTTTCAATGAAGACTGTTGACTCATTTATATCCTGTGGGAAGATCAAGAGCTGGGGAGGTAAAACAAGTCATGTAGCAAAGGCTGGCAAACACCTAAAAGAATTTAAGAACTTACAATGAAACATTTAAGCAAATCTGGCATAAGTGAACACAACAACATTATGCAACAAAAGATGCATAAACACTTTGCCAAAACCATCAAGGGTCAGCTCTTGTAGGAAGCATTCATAAATTGTGGGTGAGCACCTGAGGACGCTACATCTCACTGCTGCCTCCTGTGGCTATAGTAGTGTTTGGTCAGAAGGAAGAATACAACAGAGAAGAGTGCCAGTCACAATGTCACCTGCTCCAACAGAGGGGAGTATGCCAAGGAGAAACATCAGTGTGATAGAGGTCAGGAATTACATAATAAAAAATTTTAATCGAAGAGAATTTCAAGGGAGATTATTAGGGCAAGATAAACTAGTCAATAGGAAAAACACTCGGGTTTCTCTGAACATCTTTCTGTTTCTTTGAGGAGACATATATTTTACCCCAGGAAAGCCACTTATCCAATCTTAGCTTCACTTTCACTACTCTTGTCTTTCACTACGCCCTGGGGTCAGTAATTTGATATGGGCTATGTAGATTGTCTGTGAAACGCTGAGTCTTTTGTAAGCATTCTCCAGGTCACTGAGGCCTATTGGTCATTTCTCCTCAATGTCTTTTGATTCAACCTGTCTTTTTCCATTCCCACTTAACTGCCATTCCTGTTTTCACATCTGGATTCCTGCAGCAAATAAGTTCTTAGATGACCTTCCTATCTATATATCTTCCAGTCTAGTAGCTCCTGGTAACCAAGTTTTGATGAAAGTTCTTAAAACTGCACTTTAGTAAATGAACCAAAGTATTTACTGATAGTCTACAGGAATAAGTCCAGTTTCCTCAGCTTGACACCAAGACACTCCCCACCAACTGTCACCACCCAACCTATCCAACCACATCACCCACCTTGTTTTTTTTTACTTCTTTTTTTACTTCTCACCTTTATCCCTTATTTTCACCAAGATGAAAATAAAGCCATAAAGCCCAGTTACTTTTTTTCTTCAAAAATTTTGCCCCTAATTGCATCTCACCATAATCTTATCTTAGTCTGAATCCCTTCAGTATACATCTTTATATTCAGCTGTATAACTTTTCTTCATTTATTCACACATTCCTAGCCTCTCATAAGTTTATTTAAAAGAGTTTATTCAGGAGAGGACACATAAGATGCCCGCTGCAGTTTTAGACTTATTAAAGGCAACAATAGTGTATGCATTTGTGTAACCCCACAGTGGTTAACACGGTCTTGAGCATGTCTAAAATAAGACTGTTGTAATGAAGTATGCTATATGTGGTTAGGCTTTGGTGAGAGATCTACTCTGACTTGTTTACTCAGTTATTCCAAGTCTCTTGCCTGGCGTAGTGTTTGTCTCCAGCTAGACTATTCCACTATGCCAGGAGCAGATGGGCCTTCCCTACAGGAGGCTCGGAAACCTGGCAAAAGGTACTTTCCAATGCTGCTGCATCAGGGCTATTGTTATGAAAGGAATGGTGTTGCTACTGAGGTTCAGAGCCCAACTCCAAAGGACTGCAATGGCCAGAAAGAAATTAATTCCTTTATCTCCAGAATAGACTTGTTTCTCCTTTTATAAATTGACACAGAAGATGCTTATACCATTAATGAAGCTTGTCTGATTTCCTCATGTTTTCACATCATACACAGCAGGAAACTTCCCTACCCATCTTTCCATCTGCTTCTTGTCATTACAACATTCTGAGACTTCACCAAGCCCTTCAGTTCACCTGCTACAGACCTCATAGTCAGCTTCCCACATATCACACAGTGAATCATATTCTGCCTTTGGTTTCAGAATCTTCAAGAGGCAAAAGTCAACCAATAACTTGCAGTTGAAACACTTTTTTTTTAATAAAGATGTCAGGACTCTTGGTAAGGCTTAGCAGCCTGTTCATAATATAATCAAATTTGAAGTCTCATCTGAGTCAATCATTTATTTCTTTCTTTAATGAATATTTATAATATTCATATACATGCAAGAGAATGGGGAGGAGGGGCGCTACAGAGGTACACAACAAATTGTATCATTCAAGGATCATTTATTCTAGTAAGGAAGGTAAGTATACAAATAACTACAACTTAAGACCGTTTGTGATAAGAACCATAAAAGTGGTACAAACAAAAGTTTGAGGAGGCAAAGATCACTTCTTGTTCAGGTTATCTGGATAGCCTTCATGAAGGAAGTGACAATTGGGTTGGGTCTTGAGGGTGTGTATAGGTAGAGCCTGAGAAAAAAGCAATATGAAACATCGAGAACAGTAGGAGTGAGGTAGCTCTAGTGAGTAGCTTAGTTTTACAAAAGCATTGGGTTTGTAGAGGAGAATCATGGTTGATAAGGCTAGAAAGGGTGGTTGGGGCCAGATTCTGGGGGAACTTCAATACCAGGCTGAAGGTCAGGCTTTATGCGATGGACACTGGGGAGCCACTGAAGTTTTTAAAAAAACAACTTTATTGAGGTAGTACTGACATACCATACACATTTCAATGTATACAGTTTGATAAGTTTGCATGTGTATATACCCATGAAATCATCACCACAATCAAGATAATGAACATACCCAATCACCCACTGAAAGATTTTAAGAGACTAGCAATCAAAGCAATGCTTTTGGGAAGTGTTTCCTGATTTAAAAACAATATATACTTTTCTGCTGACATTGGGTAAAACAAGAAGATAGGTATTTAAAAAAATTTTTTATTCCTCTTGCTGCTTCTTACCTAAAAAAAGAAAAAAAATAAAATAAAAAAATAAAAATAAAATAAAAATTTTTTTTAAAGAAATAGATGCCTCCTCTGAAAATTTTTTTGTCTTGTAATCTCCTTCAGTGGTATGTTAAATTTTTCAAAAACAAATTATACCATATCTAAAAACAAATTGAAACAATGGACAAAGAAACCACAGCTTTGGTCAGTCTGGGAGCAGTACATAAGACAGACTGGAATAGGGCAGAACAGGACTGGAACAGGTCAATCAACTGAAAGCCCAACGAGGAGGTTTTACCAATAGTCCAGATTGTTGATAATAAAATCTGGTGGGAAGAATCATGACAAAAAGAAAGGAATAAACAAGAAAGACTAAGCCAGGCATGGTGGCGTGCACCTGTAATCCCAGCTACTCAGGAGACTAAGGTGGTATGATTATTGAGCCCAGGAGTTTGAGACCAGCCTGGGCAATATACTGAGATGCTGTCTAAAACAAAACAAAACAAAACAAAACAAAACAAAACCATCTAATTAAGTTGGACTGGAGTAAGGGTGATGGTAAAAATGACTGAGGTTTTTGGGCTAGTTATATGGCATTTGGGAGAGGATGGGGATAAGAAATTAGTTTGTGGATATAAATTTCAGAAGAAGGGAAATAATCATAATCATATTTTTGAAGCATTCACATCGAAGTGAAAGGTAAAGCCATAAGAGTGGTTTGCATCTGTGAGAGACAGAGTTAATGGAGAGTGAAGAAGTCAAGCTTCACTTTCACTTTATGAACCCTATGAATTCCAAATCACAGGGGTTCCAAATTGCTTGTGGCACATTGTTTAAAATAACCCAGGCACTAGCTAAGCCCATTACAGAGTGTATTGTTTCATTCACTCCTCATAACAATCTTATGAAGTAAATACCAGATCATCTCCATTTAACAAATGTGTAAACTAAGGCACAGAGGAATGAGGTTACTTGTCCAATGTCACAAAGTTAGTACATGGTGAAAACAAATTTTTTTTTAAAAAAAATATCAGGCAATATGAATCCATTCTTAATCTCTGGGCTATGTCTTCTTCCTGCAGCTCAATCCTAAGCTTTCCTAAAATAGAGTCTCCTCAGATACACAACACCCAGGCCAGAATTGCTCTACCATTTGCCTGGTATAATCCCAATGGGCACCATATCTCCAAATCTCAAGATAATACAGAATACTTGGAACGAAATCCATAGTCTGATGTTTTATGAGCAACATAGGATAAAATAAGGAGCTGGTATTTATTCACTTAAGGTTGTACTTGCTGAAACTTAGTTCAGATATACAGACAGAAGAATTTTATTTCATAAAAAGTATATGAGAAAATGAAAAAAAATTTTATTTCATAAAAAATCAAAGAGAAAATGAATAGTTTCCATTGTTCTCCCTTTCCTCCAAAATATATCCAGCAAAGGCCCGCCCTGTTGCCTGGAATTCCTTTACTAACAAGTCATTACTTTGTGTCTAGAGGTCCTTGTTTCAACAGAACTTCATTAAAACTAATGTAAAAACAGAAAGTAGAAAATTTCTGTAGGCCTCTGGGAGTTGCTCCCAACTTTAACAATCGGTAGAAAATAATTTATTCAGCTAAGTTCAGTTCTGACCAAATGAAGAAATCAATCACAAAATCAGTTGAGGAAGTGATGTTCACTCTGGGAAATAGTTCCACCTCTTCTTTAGCTCTCCAGATTTTCCTAGGAAAGACAGTGAAAATCCTACAGTCAAAGGAATGGTGCTCAGGAACTTTCTAAGAAACCAGGGTATTATCTATAGATACTTCTGCAGAATACAGCTCTTACTAAGGTTTCTACTGATCCTGGAAATGGAGGGGAGAGTGCTCCATGACAGCAGAAGTCATGGGCTTAGAATGCCTCCTACAGTTATCACTATAGCAGACAAGACTGTCGTTAGATAATTATTTAGATGATCCTGAACTTCCTCAGTACACATCTAAAGACGTTAAGGAAAGAAGACCCAGAAATTTACCAGGCAGTAAAGTGAAGCCAGGCTAAAATTAGAACTCTACCATAAATACATTTTATAGATGATTATGTGCAGGAAGTAAAGATTAGCTTTATGAGAGTCAGCAGTCAACATTTTGGGTAGCATGACTCTGGAGTCCAATCCCCACAGGCTGAGCTTCTGAATCTGCTCCCCTTTTGTATAGTAAGAAAATCTGGGCATTTTCGGCAAAGTAGGGAGGCCTGTTTTCCTGCTTGCTTTCCAACTTATAGAAAGGGTCATGAATTGGAAAATGATGTATTAATACAAAAACAGTGCAAATGCCTAGCAAAGCCAGGAGCCCCAACATACTTACCCAACCTCCTTGGCCCTGGATGAATTCCCGGATGGCTCTGTTCCCATTGATCATACCTATCATGGGAATAGCCATGTCTCTTGCCTTTTTAGGAGCCATGTTGGCCACATACTGAAGAAGTTTCACTGAAACTGACAGAAAGGCTCTCTCATAAGCTAAGTTGGGATCTTGAGCACACCATTTCTGGCTGAGAGATTTCACTATATCCTGGAGTACAGACCCTACCTGAGGAGAGATACAGGATCCATCAGTAAAGAATCACTCAAAAAGTACAGGAGGTTGCAGGTACATGAATCCAGTAAATCAAGTACTTTTTTTTTTTTTTTCTGAGATAGAGTCTCACTCTGGTGCCCAGGCTAGAGTGCCGTGGCGTCAGCCTAGCTCACAGCAACCTCAAATTCCTGGGCTCAAGCAATCCTTTTGCCTCAGCCTCCTGAGTAGCTGGGACTACAAGGCATGCACCACCATGCCCGGCTAATTTTTTCTATATATTTTTAGTTGTCCGGCTAATTTCTATCTATTTTTTAGTAGAGATGGGGTCTCACTCTTGCTGATTTCAAACTCTTGATCTTGAGCAATCCTCCCGCCTTGACCTCTCAGAGTGCTAGGATTCCAGGCATGAGCCACTGTGCCTGGCCACAAGTGTTTCTTAAAGAGTGGCAAATGTACTATTGGTGGTATACCTGAGGTAATCAGATAACTTCTCTCATTTTAATATTTTGTTATTTTAATGGGTATTAGAAAATATATTAGTCCATAAAACCTATGATTTCAGATATAACTGCTTAGGATGAACAAAATGAAAGAAAAATAAAATGATTTGAGTGAAAAAATATTAAGTACATAATAGTCCAGCAGGTCAAACTGTAAAGATATTGCTAAATTGACAAGGAAATGTATAGAAAACTCTAAAGTTAAAAAAAAATTGATTAGCTCTTTTTCTTTCCCAAACAGTGTGATCCACAAGCCATTAGGTAGGGTCAAGTAAGATCTTTTGGGGTGCCAACAGCAGATAGAGCAGGATATCAGAGCCTAAATGAGCTTAGAAGGGCATCCGCATGGGAAGGTACCTAGATCTTGGTTTCTAAATAGCATTCTCCATTAAAAGAAACCAGAGGTCCCTGGAGAACAGTTGATTCCAGATTGGGGCTTGGAAAGTTCAGGCTCTTCTGTTAGAAATTAAGGAAGTACTCAAAGAATGATAAGAGACACATCAAAAAGATATAGACTGGATTGAAAGACTCTCACTAGCTAAATCTGGGACAATATGAACACCTAAATAAATAATGATAGTAACAGATTATAATCTATTGAGTAAAATAGGAATTTAAGGGGCCATGCTGATATAGAAATAAATTCATTGAAATTTTGATGAGATACCGGATACTTACATAGTTTTAAAGTATCTTTCTATAAAACACTTATTAATTACAGAGGGGAAAAGAGTACTTTACAGTGGAGAAGTCTTACAGATACCATCTAAAGTGATTAAAATTAACAACACCAATAATGGGACAAAATGAAAATTATGTCAATTGATAGGATGCAGTGAGAAGAAAACAGCAACACTTCTGTGATATTCCTACCAAAGGTGCATATCCTTAATCTACTCAAGAAGAAACAATAAACAAACCCAAGTTAAGGGACATTCAACAAAATAACTAGCCCATAATCTTCAGGTGTCAAGATCATGAAAATCAAGGAAAGACTGCAGAACTATTCCAGATTGAAGGAGACTAAAGAGGCATGACAATTAAATGCAACACATGATCCTGACTGGATCTTTTTACTATAACTTACATTATTGGGACAACTGGCAAAACTTGAATGGGATCTATACATTAGATGATAATGTATCAATGTTAATTTCCTAATTTTGATGGTTAGATTTTGGTTCTCTACAAGAATGTCCTTGTTTGAAGGAAATATAAAAGTGTTAGGAGGTGATGAAATATATCACCTACTTACTCTCAAATTATTTCAAGAGAGAAATTCTTTGTACTATACTTACAACTTCTGTATGAGTTTGAGGCTGTTTCAAAATTGTTTTAAATGAGAGAAAAAGTAGACTTAGCTAGAAGCTACATAGGACAGCCTCAGGGCAAGCAATTGGGAGTAATAGGTCCCGTTCTGCCTGAATGTAATGTAGGCACACTATCCAAGATGGGTACAATAGGAAGAATAAAGCATAATGGTTAAGATCATGGTTCTGGAATCAGTCTGGGTTCAAATCTTTGCTTCAAGCCAGGTGCAGTAGCACACACCTATAATCCCAGCACATTGGGAGGGTGAGGTGGGAAGATCACTTGAGACCAGAAGTTCGACACCAGCCTAGCAAGACCCTGTTTTCACAAAAAATAAGAAAAATTATCCAGGTATAGTGGGGCATGCCTGTAGCTTCAGCCACTCAGAAGGCTAAGGCAGGAGGATCACTTGAGCCTAGGAGTTACTGCACTCCAGCCTGGATAACAGAGTGAGACCACATGTGTATATGTATGTACACACACACACACATACACATACATATACATACCACAAATCCTAGCTTCAACACTTACTGAGTGACCTAATTACTTGTTTCCCTATGCCTTAGTTGCTTTATCTGCTTAAATGGTATCAAGTCAGGAAATACTTATTGAGGGCCTTTTGTATATCAGGCACTATTCTAGGTTGTATGAATATAGCAGTGAACAAAACAGGTTAGATGTTTGTACTTATGGTGTTATAGCAGATGAGGAGCAGTGGTTCTAGTGATAACAGTTTCTATAACTCATACAGGGGTATAATGATTAAATGAGATAATAATGGCACATAGTAAGTAAGTTAATATTAACTGTCACTGTTGATCTTAATCAGCAACATCTCCTAGAACACCACCTTACAGTCTTTATATCTAATACGAACTCCAAATGGTAGTAAGTAATCAGCATTCTGATGAAAAGCCAGAGGGCTGCTTATCCCTCATTGCATTAGACTTGTAAACTGCCTGTCATTCCTGTATATGCTTCACTGCTGAACCTTGGGGTAGAAAAGACACATAGCCCCAACAAAATTAAGTTTTAAAACATGCATAAAAGATAGTTTTTCAAGAACAAATTGCTATTACTATTGTACACTAAACACAGCTCTGATGAAAACCAAGTGGAGACAAGCTGAAGGTTGTTCAGCCTATGCCAAGAGCTTTCCATCTCTATACCACTTAGGTTTTCATTAACTCCTAAAGAATCAGCAATTGGAGAATTCCTGCTATCTCTTTGGATGAATATAAGCAGCCAAAACTTGCACAGAACATTCCTAGTTACAGTAGTATAAAAGTAATAAAAATTAAAAAAAAAGAAGTTTGAAATAGTAAAAAAAAGCAACAAACAATAGCATAAAGTAGAATCTTGACCTGTCCCTCAGTGGTTCCTTCGATATTTCTGGCAGCAGCTTCCAATTCTCCATTAAACTGGTCACCCAGCATCCGGAGGCGACCAACAATGATAGCCACGTCAGGGCAAGCCTCTCCTGAGACAGAGGAACATATTTGTCACATTTGTCACAATGCTTAGAGATGGTAAGTCCCAGGAATCTAGGCAATGAGGGAAAAAAAAGTTCTCATCTTTTATTTTGTTATTGTTCTCTCCCAAGAACTTTATTGCTGTCAATATCAATAGTCAGAAAATCTCCCTTCATTGAGAATCTTTTTCCTTTAGGTGTTGCTAAAAGCTTAGAGTTTGCCTTTTGAAACTTAAGGGGAAACAAAGCATACTTTTTTGGCCTGTAATCACCACCTCAGGCCAGAAACCTTACCTGAATCTGGTTCATCTACACAGGTTAGGGCCCGGTTAGCAACCTTCAATGTTGGACCCAAGAAGTCTGTGAGTAGAGCATTCACGATGCATTCTGTTTGTTCCTCAAAAGTTTGGAGGCCTTTCATTTTAGAGTTTGCTGCTGAGTTTTACTCTTCCACAAAACAAGCAGTTTTCAGCCCAGCAGGAAGTTAGAAACACTGGTAAACCAGCAGATGTGTCTATCTCTTATAATTTCCTAATTGGACGATAGGTCCAATTAGGAACCTTTCCCACCAGCTTTCGTCAAAAATAGCTGCTCAGAAAGGTAGGACTTCTCTGAAATGCTTTTCTACACAGAACTGGATAAACTTGTTGAAGACTCTAAGTTTCTTATCTCAGAACCACACCCTAGCCAGTACATAGGATCACTGAATAACTTATAGTTAGCTAATCTGTAACTGAAATAGAGTTGAGTAAGAGCCTCTTGGGTAATTTCATTAAAGAATACTTCCTGTTAGGTTCTGTTTATGGTATAAAGGAAGGTTGTCAAGTTGTAACAGATTAGTATTCAACTTTTTTATTTTTAAAATTTATTTATTTAAATTTTTAATATTTTTTTAGCATTCAACTTTTGTTTGCCATAATCATACGATTATTTACTGAACACCTGTAAGTAACTATACTTGGCACTACAAATAACACAGAAAAATGACACAGTTCCTGTGTTCATGCAGCTTACACTTTATCAGAAATGATATTAAATGACTAATCATATAATTTCTTGTGCTATTGACATACAGTGCACTTTGAGAGCATAAGGAAACAAACCTAGGGGATGGGGAAGGCTTCCTTAAAGTAGTGACACCTCAAATGAACTCTGAAGGATAAGTAGGGATTCATTGGGCAAAAAGGAGGAGTAAGATTGTTCCAGGTGGAGGGACAACATATATAAAGGCTGAGGAGATGGGGAGAGGAAGGAAACTTGGGCATTTGAGGAATTATTATGTAAATGGATATAGTACAAAGTATTTCAAAAGGAAATTATAAGGAATAAAAAAGATGTTATGTGGAATGACCTAGCATTGTTTGGCATGCAGTAAATGTTAAATGTCTTTCCTTTTAGCCCAAGGTCCATTGACAAAGATAAAAGGGATCTGAGGTTTACTCTCTAATAAGAGAATTTTCCTAACAGGGTTGGATTCCATCATAGTTTTAAGAAATCTTGGGATGGATACTTACTTATACTGGCTGCTTTCTTAATGTAACTAAACCCAGATTTTGGGTCTGGGTTTTAGAAGCATTACTCATTCTCAGCAAACCTATCACTCAAACCTGTCGGAGGTGAAGTTATTAATAGCTCCAACTAATAAAAGATTCAATAAAAGATTCATAAACAGTGAGTCAGTTGTTCAGAATGGAATTTCTCCCTGGCAAAATGATCAGAGCCAATCTTCTGTTTTCTGTTCCATTCTAAAAAATAAATGGCCACTACAGTTTCCAGGACAACATGTCCAATTAGATGACCAGCAATGACAGCCATGTCAAAAGAGCCTCAGCTAAGACAGAAGGAATACATTTGTCACAATGCTTGAAAGGATGGCAGTGAATACACTCATTGTATTAAAATGGAGAAAATTCAAAACACTGACAAAACCAAATGCTGGTGAGGATTTGGAGCAACAGGAACTCTCATTCATTGCTGGTAGGAATGCAAAATGGTAAAGCCACTTTGGAAGATGGTTTGGCAGTTTCTTACAGAACTAAGCATACTCTTACCACATGATCCAGCAGTTACACTCTTTGGTACTTACCCAAAGGAGTTGAAAACTATGTCCACACAAAAACCTGCACATGGATGCTTATAGCAGTTTTACTCATAACTGCCAAAATTTAGAAGTGACCAAGATGTCCTTCAGTAGGTGAATGGATAAACTGTGATATATCCAGACAATGGAATATTATTTAGTGCTACAAAGAAATGAGCCTATAAAGCCATGAAAAGACAAGGAGGCATTTGGGTGATAATTATGGATTTTGGGTGATAATTTATGAGGTAAGTTCACCAGTTATAACAAATGTACCACTCCAGTTGGTGATGTTGATAATGGGGGAGGCATGCATGTGTGGGGGCAGAGGGTATACGGGAAATTTCTGTACCTTCCTCTCAATTTTGCTGTTAATCTAAAACTGTTATTAAAAAGTCTTAATTTTTAACAATGATCATAAATTGTTTTTGGACGAGGAGCAGAAAGTATGTTCCAGTGTAACTAAAGGACCATTTTCATTTGTCATTATAGTATCTATCATTCATTCTCTCTCGAGACAAAAGGGCTGAAACTTCAGTTACTACTAAGTAAGCTTCAGACCTCTAATGTCAGAGGGGCCCTCAGAGAATTCTAGGCCTCCTTTCACATTAGAAACAGCCACTTGACCATTTAAGGATTCTAAAAAATACATTTATAACATACTCCCAAAACAATATACAAAAACAAAACATGTTTATAAGGGGCTATCCAAGTTGGATAAAATAGCTTGAACTTTTCTCACAATAATAAACTACCTTCCTCATTTCACTATCAATATACCTACGCCACCTTTCTAATCCAATCTTGATTCCTTTGTACTATCCTGTATAATCAACATTGTAAAGCTATAGAAACAGAGTACAGGCTCTCATGGGCAAGACAGAGTACATTTTCCTCCTTTGGTTACTTCTTTCTGGGCCTTCAATGTAGCACTTTCCCAAACCAACCTTCCTACCCCTTGGCCCACATACCTTCACCCTTATAGTTCTGATGTGCTCCTAATTATTACTGAAAAATGACAAGGCCAAAATTTTTCGCTATCATTTATTTCTCTTGCTGTCCTCTGGCCACAACAATTTATATTCCTCTCCAAAAAGCTTCATCTCATTATATCATTGGCTCAAAGTCCAGGATCTGGTCATCTGCACCTAGTGTGCATGTGGATGAAGAACCTTGGGTACAGCTCCTCTCAACATGGAGACCTGTAACTAAGAAAACAAGTCATGTGTCCTCACTCCTCTAAACACCTGATATCTGAAAGGGATAGAATAATTGTAACAGAATTCCTGTTCAAAAAGAGGGGGAATGGAGACATATAACAATCACTGGTCCATAGCAATAAAATGGACTGGGCTAGGGCCAGTGGCTCACACCTGTAATCCCAATACTTCAGGAGGCCAAGGTGGGAAGATTGCTTGAGGGATGGAGTCTGAGACTAGCCTGGGCAGCATAGCAAGATTCAATCTCTACGAAAAAAAAATAACTAGCCAGGCATAGTGGCACATACCTATAGTTCCAGTTACTTGGGAGGCTAAGGCAGGAAGATCACTTGAGCCCAGGAGTTTGAGGTTACAGTGAGCTATGATCTCACCACTGCACTCCAGCCTGGCTGACGAGTAAGACCCTGTCTCACAAAGAAAAAAAAAAAAAAGAACATAGTATACTCGTTGACCTTTGGTCATTTTGGTTATAAATTAGTAAAACCAGAATACAGGAACAATCAGTTCTTCATTGAGATCATTTTAAAAGTACACTTTCCAAAAGCCACAATTAATTATTAATTAATTATCATATTAATATATATCTTATATTATAGAAAAGCAACCAAATACAACTTAATCTTCTAAAGGCTCCAATAGTCAGAATCACTTTAGTATCATTATTTACTCAATTGTTGGCCCATACCTACTTTTCTTCAGGTCACAATTTCAGTTATAGTCTTTAATTTTTAATCAATGAATTTATTCAATTTCTACCACCCGTATTCTGTTCCTTTGTTATACTTTGAATTAACAGCACTTCAGTTTTCTTTTAGCACCTAATTAAACATTCACAGTTTAACTGAACAAATAAAAATCTGAAGCTGTTCTGATCCCTCCCTTTCCAGTCTCTGGGATCCATGGTCTGAATCAGTGATTCTCAACTAGGGGCTATTCTGCCTTCACTCCTCACTCCCCAGGGGACCTTAGACAATGTCTGATGACATTTTTAGTTGTCACAATTAGGGGTTCTACTGGCATCCAGTGAGTAGAGGCCTGAGATACTGCTAATTATCATTCTACAGTGCAGAGAAGCCCCCTCCCCACCAACAAAGAATTATCTGGGCCAGACTTGGTGGTTCACACTCATAATCCCAGTACTTTGGAAGACCAAAGCAGGAGAGTCACTTGAGGCCAGGAGTTCAAGACCAGCCTGTGCAACATAGCGAGATTCTGTCTTAGGGAAAAAAAAAAAAAGCCAGGCATGGTAGCTACTCACAAGGATGAGGCAGGAGGATCACTTGAGCCCAGGAGTTTGAGGCTGCAGCGAGCTCTGTGATCACACTACTGCACTCTAGCCTGGGCAACAAAGCAAAGACGCTGTCTTAAAAAAGAAAAAAAATGAATATTTCTTCCTCTCTGATAGTTTTAAAACTGTTTCCCTTCACGCTGACTACTTCACCTATAGAGTCAAATCTGAGGCTCAACTATATCTATGTAGGCCCTTATTGCCTGAACATTTGTGTATTTCCCATTCCTAACCTAGCCAGTCTTAATTCACATTTTCGTTTTCCCCATTCTGGATTCTTTGGTCTTATTTATTATTTTACCATCATGTTATTAGATCTGTTCTTGCCATAAGTTATCTCAATTAATGTATAAAATGTGGTCAGGTATGAATAAAAAGTGAGGACAAATGACAAGAAAACAATTACAATAGTATTGCTAGATGTATGCACTAGCTACTTTGACAGCTTAAAGAATGTCCCTAATGAAGGCAGTGAGCGGAACAGCAAAAGACAGACTAGGTATTAATTAATGAAGATATGAAAGTGAGGAAATGTTCTGGCAATAAATAAAAGCAGATATTATGGCACAGAGGTGAGAGAGGCTGGTGCATTCAGGGAACTGCAAATAGTTTGTTTTTACCATAAGAGAAGGCGTTCTGGGAGTGGCCAAACATGACACTGAAGAGGTATTTTAGATGCCATGCTAAGGACTTTGGACTCTGGCCTAAAAAGCATGATTTGAAATAGGAGAACAACCAAGAGTTTACTATAATAATCCAGGGAAGAAAGAATGACCCTCACAAATGATGACCCCTGTCAGTTTCCACACACCAGACATCTTTAATTAGTAATACCATCCCTTAAATTAATTAGAAAAGAATCTAAATCCCATCCTCACCCCATTCTCATATCAACATTAACCCTTACAACATCACCATTGAAAAATTGGGCCAATCAGCAGTAGGCATGAAAGGAATAAGTTGATGGTCTTTAGGCAAAGACATAAGCACCCTGATTCTTAGATTTCCCATTCTCCTTTGCATCTGGTATTATCTGGACTTACAAGCAGCTCTAATAAGAAAAACTAAGGAACTCTGATAGTTATTCATCTTACTCAGGACAAGCAAAAAGAATCTGTTATGATTTTATGTCTCCAATTGTTCCAATCACAGTTTCTAATACGGAAATAAAACTGTTCAGTGTCTCCGTCCTTGCCTCATTTTGTTTCACAGAGATCTGTATTTCTGAGTTCTCAGGCTCCAACAGCAGTTCTGTCAAGAACAGACAGCCAGTATCATCCTGAGCACTGAGGTATGCTTTCCATGGCCGAGCCCCAGCCCTGCTCATCGCGATGGTCTGGATGTTCACTACTTGAAGAGCCATCTGGAGAGTATCAGCATGGACTGCTCCCTGCCAAGGCAATACTTGCTGATGAGCAACCTTGAGGCTAAGCCAAGTTTTCTCAAAATACTCAGCAGTAAGCTGGAGATTGGGAACTAGCATGAGGGCTCCAGAATCAGGGAGTTCTTGTATTGTCTCCTTGTTCTCTTCAGGAATCAGGGATCCTAAAAGAGTCAGAAAGTTTCTGTAAGTGATGTTCTTAATCTGTAGGAGCTAAATATTTTACTTAAAATCCCCCAAAAATATACAATATGTACTTCTGTCTTTGGATAAATGGCTTAAATAACCAATAATGAACCTCTTTTTTGCTCACGAAGTCTTCAAATTCAGGCAAATCTAAGATTTAGTGCTGGGATACTCTACTTTCTAAAAATCATTGAAAAGATAAAGATTTATCACGATAAGATACAAGGTAAAGATTATTTTTACCTGATGTGGCAAAAGATGCAGTGTTAGGAAGCTCTGGGCCATGTTGCTTTGCCCCCTGGCACTTAGAAATAGTTGCCCAGCGGGCTCTGCCATACACTGGCACCAGCGTGTTGAAGTCTGAGGCCCAGCTGTTCACAGGTCTTTCTGCTGGATCCTCCAAAAGTCCAAGAGAAGGGTCAGATTTTGGGCTACACAAGATCCGCTTAACTTCATCAATGCCAACTAAGAGGAGGCGATAATAGAAGAGACCTCGGTCCCGTACAGCCATATCCTTCTCCTCCTCTGAGGAAAGACAACAGATTGAGTTAGTTAAAAACAAAACCTCCTACCTCCTACCCTCGTGCCAACCAAATAGGAGAAAAAAATGAAGAAGAGAAAACCTAAGATAACATTAACATTTTCTTCTTGGGTCTCAGATACGACTCACCAAACAATGAAAGATGTGAGAATTTTTACTATAGGTCATAGCAAGTACTATTTTCTTCTGAAAAACTTACCTATGCAGTAATATAACAAACGTCCCAGCATGTCCTGGCACTCAGCAGGTCGTGAGAGGAAAAGGCGCAGCAGAGCAGTGAGTAGCTCCATCTTAACAGCTGGAAATGTCTCTGACTTCACATTCTCTACAAAGTCCTCTAACACATAAGGAGCATTGGGAATTCTTTCCCCATGAACCCCAAGTAGCCAAATAAGTGCCTGCTTCCCCTATGGAATAAAAGAATTAGAACAGGTGCTCAATACTTGGCTATCCACAATACAGGAGATAGTAAACAAACACCAATTTGCTTTTCCCCTAGTGCTAGCAAAAAAGATATAATCATTAATTTACTTCAACTTGCATTTTATTGATTCCCCCGTAGTACGTTCTCTACAACAAACAGGAACAAAATTCTAATGCACAACAGAAAACTCAAAATTTTCATAACTTATGCTGATTAAGCAATAAATAAGGCTTCCTCTGCTTTGGGGCCTCTGGCTCAATTTGGGGTTTTGTGTTTCAGTGGAAGCTACTCAAAGAATCTCTCTAACTTTTTCATGAAAGTGGTTAATAAATAAGCTAGAGTGCACATCACAGTCATCTGTGAAGTTTCTTAAAAATATATCTGTCTAGGCTGGGTGTGGTGGCTCACGCCTGTAATCTTAACACTCTGGGAGCCCGAGGCGGGTGGATTGCTCAAAGTCAGGAGTTCGAGACCAGCCTGAGCAAGAGCGAGACCCCATCTCTACTAAAAATAGAAAGAAATTAATTGGCCAACTAAACATATATATAAAAAATTAACCGGGCATGGTAGCACATGCCTGTAGTCCCAGCTACTCGAGAAGATGAGGCAGAGGATCACTTGAGCCCAGGAGTTTGAAGTTGCTGTGAGCTAGGCTGACGCCATGGCACTCTAGCCTGGGCAACACAGTGGGACTCTGTCTCAAAAAAAAAACAAAACAAAAGAAAAAAATATATAGGCCCACCACTCCTGAATATTTAAGCCAATAGACTGGGGATGAAGCCCAAACCTTTGTAGAAACTCCACAAATGATTTTGACTCTTATTCCAGTTAAAAACCCCTTGGTATAAATCTCTGACTCAAAACTATTCAAAAGAGCAATGGGACCACAAAGTATTTGTAATAAAAACCATAGCCAAATTCTGTTTTTATTTTTATTTATTTCATATTATTTTTTTGAGATAGAGTCTCACTCTGTCATCCAGACTGGAGTGCAGTTGTATAACCACAGCTCACTGCAACCTCCAACTCTTGGGCTGAAGTGATCCTCCTGGCTCAGCCTCCTAAGTAGCTAGGAGTACAGGTACATGCCACCATGCCCAGCTAATTTTTTATATTTTTTTAGAGATGAGGTCTTGCTATGTTACTCAAGCTGGTCTCAAGTGATCCTACCACCTCAGCCTCCCAAATTGTTGTGATTACAGGCATGAGCCACCATATCTGTACCATTTTTATAATTTATATGCCATCTATGTCTGAAAGAGAATCTGAGGTCACAATCAATTCTAAGAGTTTCCACTTCAGACGTGGGGTGGAAAAAATAATTAGATTCCATTTCAGAGGGCAGGGTCCCAGGCATTCCCCTTCCACCTAGAAGTAAAGGAAAATTACAGTCTACCTCACTATCTTGAATGTTCTCCTCACAGCCGGGCAGGGCCTGACACACAGCTTCGGTACACTGAGGACACAACCAAACCAGGTCTCGGAAAGTCTGCACCACCACTATAACATATCCCAGGATACAAGAGCACAAGATTAAAGCCGCCATGTAGGAAGGAATCTTAAGAAGAATCATGTATTCAGACTAGATTTGTGGCTGAATTTGTATAAAACTGGTTTTGGAGGGGTGGGCAATGATTATCTGAGAAATATAATCACATGGGCAATAATTTCTTGAATGAATTTCTTATCAGATTGACATGAGGATAAATGACCTAATGTATGGGAAAGCATTTTGTAAAACATAAAGCTATATGCTAATATGGGGTAGTGTTATTAGCGAATGATACTCTAAAGACAGTATAATGGAGTCACCATGACTGGGACTATGGTGAGGCAAGTGAGGTGTACCTAGTATGCAACATTTAAGAAGACATGCAGGGTTGGCTCTTGCATGAACCTGAGAGTAAGTCCTTTCTTAAATTTTGCATCCTAAGCAACTTACTTGCTTTACCCTAGTGATACACCTGGAAGCCACTGCCTATAGTAGACTGCCATAAAACAAAAAGAGGAGTAAAAATGGGGAAATAACAAGCACAATCACCCTAGTACCCTTCATTATTTATAATAATCTATACCATCATCTGAAATCTATACCATTATCTTGTAGACTCATGGTAGCCTGAAGACTCAATACCCTATTAGATCTCTAGAATCTATGCTTCTCTGACAGCAACAGATGATGATGTAAGGAAAAGTTTAAACCTCTGTATTACTTATTCAACAACAAATATTTTTTGAGCAACTACTATAAGCCAGGCACTTGGCATAAAAATCCTAGAAAGGTATCCATTACCTGTAGTAATATGCTCTTGTCGAAGCCCCAGTAACTCTGTTAGAATCTGCACACACTGATCTGTGTAAGTCCTGGCGATGCCACCTACAGAGCAAGAGAAGGCAGAGGAAACTGTTAAGTCAAATATTAGTGCCTCATTCTAAAATCATTTCCCACCAAAGACAAAAGAACCAGAGATAAAAAAAAAAAAAAAAAAAATCATCTCTTGTTTGATGAAACAAAAACAATCTAAGTTTGCTAAAAAGGGAACTTTCGTAAAAATGAATCGATTTTTCATTGACTACTAGAAAATTGAAAGTTCATAAAAAAGAATTTCTCAATGAAGAAGGTTGAAAACGTACAGTAACAATAGTATTTACATGTCAGTGAGATATGAGGCACCCTTTTTGTAGCAGCATATCCACAAAGAAATATTCCTGCTGGGGATGCTTGAAAGCAGTCTCCTGACTACAAGGATTTCTATTCTCTTTGCTCCCTTTTCTTTGCCCCTAAAAATAACCATGCTTTATTCTAAATATGTGGGTTCTTCCTTCTCCTCTTACACTTGAAAGACTCTAAAACTTAGCTTCCTAGCTGCTTTATTTTCTTTTTTTTTAACCAGAGATAGGGTCTTACTCTATCACTTATAGCTCACTGCAAACTCAAACTCCTGGGCTCTTTGATCCTCCTGCCTCAGGCTCCTGCATACTAAGACTACAGGCATGTGACACCGCACAGATAATTTTGTATTTTTCGTATAGATGGGGTCTTGCTATGTTGCTCAGGCTAGTCTCAAAAACTCTTGGTTTCCCAAAGTACTGGGATTACAGGTATGAGTCATGGCACCTGGCCTACTTTCAGTTTTTGAGTCACTCCAACCTTTTACATCCTAGAGAAAATAGTATGAAAAAGTTTAGAAGATTAGGAACTATTCTGTGTTGGTCTATACTCAGCACAATACATAGCCTATAGCAGAAGCTCCATAAATGACTGATGAATTGACACAGGAGTTTGAATCAGAAAGAGTGGATTATATTCCCAGTTTAGGAACTATATGATCTTTAGGCAATTTGATAACCTTTTTTGTGCCTGGGTTTCTTCAACTTTAAAATGAAGTTAATAACACTCGTCTATGTTTCCTGACTGCCTCACAAGACTGTGGTAAGATGATGTATAGAAAAGCATTTTGGATAGAAGACAACAAAAATTTTAAATATTATAGTTAGATTTGCCTGTATTCTCTATCCTGGAAGATATGGCAACACTAGTCTGGACCAAAAAAATATATATATATCTCCCTTTTCCTTTGTTTGTAGTCACTGACCCAATTCTTTAGTGCATGGCACTTTCTCTCTGAAGCAAGACTCATGCCCTCTTGCTCTCTATGGTTGCATTGACCATAGCTTTCTAGCTGGCTGGTCTAGGTTCTCAAAAGGAAAAGCAGCAGACACCTACCTATGGCAAAGATGGCAGCCTGGGAAAAGTCAGCAGAGACATCCGTGCAGTACCCTCGAAGCTCCTCTAGCACCTGCTGCACATTCTCATCATTCACTAGCTCACACAGCACTTCCACCTTCTGTAGTTTGATATAGTGGGGCTCCGAGTAGGAACAAAAAAACTTTTTATAGTGGCTGCTAAAGTGACCTGGCAAACTATGCAAGATCTGGCGCACATGACAAAGGGCAGCAAAGCAGAGTTCACGGCTCTCTGAAGAACAGGCAGCTAGCAAAGGTCCCTTGACTCGCACAAGCACATCGGTTTGTACATGGGGAAACTTTTTTGCCAAGATCAGAAAGAGTTTTGTGGCTCCCATCACCACACCTGGGCTACTGCTCTTGAGAAAGCTGTCCAACAGATTGAGAATGTCGAATAATTCCTCCTCACTGCGGGGTTGGTAGCGTAGCAGAAAGTTCAATACTTCAGCCTGGCCCCATTGGTCCAGTTTTGACATTCTATCCAAAAAAGAAAACAAAAGCACTATTTTAGCAACAAAATTAGCACCATCTCTATGCCACATAACCAGCCAGCTATTCATCATAACAAGGGGAGAATTCTTAAAGATAGGCTATGCCGGCCGGGCATGGTGGCTCAAACCTGTAATCCTAGCACTCTGGGAGGCTGAGGCAGGAGGATCACTCAAGGTCTGGAGTTCAAGACCAGCCAGAGCAAGAGTGAGACCTCGTCTCTACTAAAAATAGAAATTATCTGGACAACCAAAAATATACATATAAAAAATTAGCTGGGCATGGTGGTGCATCCTTGTAGTCCCAGCTACTTGGGAGGCTGAGGCAGAGGATTGCCTGAGCCTAGGAGTTTGAGGTTGCTGTGAGCTAGGCTGACGCCACAGCACTCTAGCCTAGGCAACAGAACCAGACTCTGTCTCAAAAAAAAAAAAAAACTGAATCATTCTTTTTATGTACTATATAAAGTTTACACAAAATAGGCTTTAAATTCCAAGATGAGTTGACAGTATAAACGCACATTCATTTAAGGCCAAAGATGTGGTATGATCAGTGTACCCTGGGCACAGATTCTCTACATTTTAAGACACTATAAATAGCTTAAGTAGAACATAATGACTAGAGGAGAATAGAAGCTAACCCCTCAAGACATTTCTGCTCTCTGTATCACCAAGAGAAACTAAGACCAATGAAAGAAACTCTCTGAGTGAAATGTGATGAAGTTAATAATTATGGTTAACTTTCTTTTCCACCCTACAGAAGTTGTTCAAGACTTTTGTTGTTGTTGTTGAGACAGAGTCTCACTGTGTGTCCCTGGGTAGAGTGCAGTAATGTCATTATAGTTCACTGCAAGTTCCAACTCCTGGGTTGTAAGTGATCCTTCTGCTTCAGTCTCCCGGGTAGCTGGGACTACAGGCACACTGCAATGCCCAGCTGGGTTTTATTGCTTTATGTATTTTTATTTATTTATTTTTTCTTTTTCTTTTTGGCAGAGACGGGGTCTCATTGTTGCTCAGGCTGGTATAGGACTTATGAGCTCAAGCAATCCTCCCACCTTGGCTTCCCAGAGAGCTAGGATTATAGGCATGATCCACCGTTCCCCGCCAAGACTTCTTAATTCAGCACATCAACAAGATCCCACAAGGATGCAGATCTCATAACACAAAAAAGCACGGAGGCATCCAAACCTATTTAAGAGATGATGGGCAATGGGCTTATTGATGACAACTCCTCCTTCCTGTTTCAGAATTTCCTCTAGAGACCTCAGGCAGTTCACAACCACAATTGGATCCTGATCACGCAGCAAACTGTATAACTCATTTACCAGGGCACCATCTATGAAAAAGAACAAAGATCTCAGATAAAAACGAAAAGCTTCAGAGTCACAGGGATAGAGCCAGAGTAATGGCTCCCAGCAGACAATGCTGAACTTCTCTGCTATGAATTCAAGGCAAAAAAATTGCTATCTCCAGATGGTTCTAAGTAGCTAATACAAGGCATCTCACCTGCGCCCCAAAGAAAGGACTTCTCTAATTTCAGAAAATACCAAGCCCTGCAGCCTACTTAAAGAGACACGTGCAAAAGCGGGGCCACATTATTATTTTCTACTGAAGCTACATAATCTTTTACAAAGTCATACATAATAGAGGCACAAACAAATATTGATCATGATGGATTACACTGAACTTACCCACTTCAGAGTCTCCATGAAGATTATGCATCTTGGCACAACCAAGGACTGCTACCCTCCTGACATATGAAGCCTTATCCCGTAAGCCATTGAGAATAGGCTGTTGGATATATTCTTGCACACCAGGCATCCTAAGCAACACATCCTGGAGTTAGCCAGATCCTGAAATACTAGTTTTGAAATAATTCAGCCCCTCTTCACTTAACAGAGAGTTTAGCAGATGTTTGAATGTGTATCTATCATCATAAAAAACTGGAGAAAGCCTCCACCAAACTTAAAATGCCATAATTTGACTTTTCATTTGGAATAATGCTGCACAGGCAGCAAATAAATATTAATTCATAATTGTTTAGAAATCTTTAACCAAAACTGAGAACTGTCTTACTAGAATGAGAATGGAAAACCCCCATTAATATAACCATATGATATTGTTTATTAAGTCAAAGTACTAGCTAAAAATTTAAATTCAGGGTATAATAGTGTTTTCCTCAGTATTAAGGAACTTAAATAAATCGTCCTCAGTAAAAACCCACCCCATGATCTCCTGAATTCATCAGCCACTGAGGACCAGACAAGGAAGAGGGTGCTCACCTGAGGCTACACATGCTCCGTAGTGCCAGCCCTCGCACCATCGGGTTGGGGTCCGAGCAGTCTTTGCACAGTGTATTAATGGCCAGGAGAGCCAGATCTGGTTTCAGAGGGGCATATGTGCACATGTACAGATAAACCAACTTCTTCTGAACAATATCTACAGTGGCACTGGCCTTCACCATTTCCATGAAAACACCAGACATGTCCAAGCCCTGAGTCATGTGCCTGAAACCAACACACATGGCGGAAGAAGTAAAATACAAATCTCCACCTTATAATGGAGGGGGTTTACTTATATATGCCCTGGTTATCCAAGTAGATCATGATCTCTTAGAAGAAAGCAACTATGACTACCTTTATCTATTATACCACACAATACTTCATACCATGGGCCTGGAATAAACATTGTTCTTCTATTCATGCAATGAACACTTATTGAATCCCTTGTACATTCCAGTGAAATTCAGCTTTTACATCCAGGGATATGCTCTGGGGACATAATCTTGAAGAAGATGTGACCTTTGCGAATTCAAAAATCTATTAAGGAGCCAGACAAGAACACCACTAATTACAGTACAATAGATTAAGTATTTAAATAAAAGTAATGTACAAGGAGCAGAAAGGATTCAGAGGTCTGATGCTGGCAGGAAGCCAGAGAATGTTTCTTCACAAAGGAAGTAATATTTTAGCTGAATGAGCAGGACCTCACCAGGCAGATGTGACAGAAAGGTAATGATATTAATACATGCTATGAGGCATGTAGATATGAGCAAAACACACATTCTTTTGAGTGTCTGCAGGTAATGGGATTAACAGGTTGTTTTGGGGTGCTAAGTTTGTATTTTATTCCGTAGATAATTGTTTCACTGAGGTCTCCTACTAGAATCAGCTGAGATGTTTCTTAAAAATAGATTCTCCTGGGTTCCATCCTACCCTACTGAAATCAGAATCAATCTCTGGACTGGCTTAAAAATCTGCATTTTTTAAAAAAGCACCCAAGGGGATTTTTGTGCATACTAAAGTTTGTGAACCACAGCTGTAGGCAACAATTATAGATTGAGATTTGTAAATGGGAAAATTCTTACTGAAATGAGGCAAGGTGGCCCACGAGCAAACTTCTGCAATTGATTTGGTGATGAAGGCCTTAGCCAGAACACGAGTGCCAATAAAAAAGAGAGGATGGATATTTAAAATTGTGAATTCATACCATCTGACATAAGAAGTGAAGGATCAGGTGTCATCAAGGATGACCTGGCTGGCTGGTGCCATTCACCAACACAAATATAAGCAGAAGAGCAGGTTTGGGGAGAAGGGAAGAATGTTGGTGCTATTTTGCACATACCTTTGATAAATTATCCAGGTGGCAGAGGGATATGTGAGTCTGAGGCTAAAAAAGGAGGTCTGTACTAGTATATATTACAGATCCAGGAGTCAGCAGTAATTGTTCAAGCCTGGGATAGGAAGAAATCACCCAGCTGAGTAAAAGATATCCTACAAGGGAGACTGAGATGGTACTCCGGAGAGGGAGATTAAGACCGAATCATACAACTGCCACGTACGAATGTTCATTTACTCTTTCAGAGAGGCCAGGGGTGGTGAGCCCTGATGGAGACTGCGACGGGGGTGGGGGTGTGGGCAATTAGGACACTAAGGGAGATGGGTGATACCTAATCACTCGTTGGATGACATTCCGGTAGCGCAGCCTATCAGCTTGAATGTGAGGATTGCACAGAGCCTTCTTCAACTCCTTCACCACGTCCTCAGAGCCAAGGTAAGGCATCTTCTCTAACAGTCACGGAGCAGTTCCCACAGATCCCTACGTAACTCTTGAGCTCCTACTCGTGATGTGGGAGCCTGAGTAAAGGAAATATGGTCAGTGAAAAGACTAAAGGCGTGATGTCACCCCAGGCTTGGCTTGGCTTCCCTAGGGCCGAAACTCAGTCCCTCTGACACACTTCAACTCCCTCCGCTCCCCGGCGAGCCCCACCAAAGGCCCTATCCTAGACCCACAGTCTGTCTGCTCCGCCGACAGGTCGCTGCCGCTACCTCTAGGCCCTCCGCCCGACTTCCAACCCCGCGGCCGAAGGGCCGTAGACCGTCCCTCTGCAGTTCCAGTGTTTCTAGCGCCTCCGCGCCGTCGCCGTCACACAGAAGCCCAATCGTGCTTTCTGCGGAAGTCCCGCCCCCTCGCCCAAAGACCAAACGGAGTAGCTGCTACTCTCCTTGCTAGCGCGGAGCGTAGCCCCGACCCCGACTTTGGGATGCCCTTCCCCCAACCTCTCACCTCCCGGCGCAGCCGCGCGACTCCCTCTGGTGGAGCTGCGGCGCACAATCGGAAATCAGCTACTTCGGCCTGTCTCCTCCCAGCAGCGCGCGCTTTGAGTGCCTGGCCTGGCCCCCGCGCGCGGGTTGGAGTGTCGGGCGCCTTCTGCGATTTGGACTCCTAATCTCTAGACTCCTACGAGGACGGTCACTTCCTTCTTTCTGCTCGCAGTAGTAACTTATTCCTCTACGCAACTGGCTTTCCCCTAGGGTTTCTGGCCCTGTTCTCGCCCCAGCATGACTTTTTTCGGGGGGCCGTTATGGAAGCCTCACCCAGGAGCCCTGTCCCCGCGAAGTTCCCGCCGGTGACTCTCCAACCCCGCTACCATGAACGGGGTCTTGATCCCTCATACGCCCATCGCAGTGGACTTTTGGAGCCTGCGCCGGGCTGGTACCGCGAGGCTCTTTTTCTTGTCTCACATGCACTCCGACCACACCGTGGGCCTATCTAGCACCTGGGCCCGGCCCCTCTACTGCTCCCCAATCACGGCCCACCTCTTGCATCGTCAGCTACAGGTATGGGGGATTGGAGTCGGCGTCGATGAGCTGGTCCAGGCATCTGAGGGAGGACTTCCGATCTGTCACAGCCTTGGAGTCATTTGAATGGGGTCCAGGAGAACCGATTTGTACAACTGCATCTTTAGCCCAGAGTAGGAGAGTGGCTTCCAACCTACTAACTTGAGATATTTTAGTTATAAGTTGAAGACATCTTTTAGTCTAGCCAAGGAAACTGTTCCTATCTTTTCACATAAACTAGGCCAATGTTTCCCAACCTTACCTCATACTAAGAATCCAGCTAATGTGCTGGGTAAATAATACAGATTCTCCAGCCCCCTCCCCACCTCCACCCCATTTGATTCAGTAAATATGGCTGGTGTGGGTCCTGGATATGTGGCTGAAATTTTTTAAACAATTGCCCCCAAGGGTTATTGTGATCAGGAGAGTTTGAACATCGCTGACTAGACTGATTCTTTTTTTTTTTTTTAAAGACGAGTCAAGTTCAGTAGTGAGAAGGGGGGAAAGAGTAGAATAAGGAGTTCAATCTAACTGACTATAAACAATCAGGTGAGATAACTCACCAACATCGGACCACCCTAGGCTGTTTTCTGAACTCTTAATTTAAAGTTGTACAAAGGGCGAGGTGGGGAGTGAGAGGAGAAAGGGCTGATTGCTTGGGAATCTCCATTACAGCTTCTGCTTCAGGTGGCTGAGGATTTGGTCAGCTTTCCTTGATTCATGTAACAAGGATAGTCCCTGTTCCAGGGAGGTGTCAGGGAGGGGAGTCTGTGGTCACTGGGATGACTAACTCTTTCCTCAGGTATCTAAACAGTGGATCCGAGCCCTGGAGGTTGGTGAGAGTCATGTATTGCCCCTAGATGAAATTGGAAGAGAGACCATGACCGTAACCCTCATCGATGCCAATCACTGCCCTGGCTCTGTCATGTTTCTCTTTGAAGGATATTTTGGAACCATCCTCTACACAGGTGGGCCTCTGGAGGGGTCCCTCCCACCTTCCCACTCTAGATATTACTTTTCTTGGACAGTCTAACTCATAACAGAAGTCTGAAGGCCTTCTAGCTTCATCCCCATATGAATACAGTGACCCCTTCTCAACTGATTTCCCATTCTTTTAAGAGTCCAAACCTTGTAAGGAATAATTTAAAAATGAGTAGAATGGAGACATTTCTACAAAGAAACTATGCAGCTATACTGCCTAGTTCAGTGCCAACTCACATAATAGCTTTTCCACAGACCAGTAAGCAAATGCTAATCTGTTGTTGGAGCTAGGAGAGGCTTGTTTTCTATTTTTTGTCCCTGACTTTCTGTCTCCACATATGTATTCTTCTAGGTGATTTTCGATATATACCATCCATGCTAAAGGAGCCAGCCCTGATGTTGGGGAAACAGATCCATACTTTATACCTAGACAACACCAATTGTAACCCAGACCTGGTTCTTCCTTCCCGACAAGAAGCTGCCCACCAGATTGTTCAGCTCATTCAAAAGCACCCACAACATAACATAAAGATTGGTGAGTTGTTTCCTTTCCTTTTTCTCTCACCCATAGCTAGCGAATCTAGGTTCTTTGAGGGTTCTCACACTTTTCAAATCTTTGTGTAGCTCTTACCTTCTCCATGAAATCTACCTTGACCACCTTATTTAAAATTGCAGCCTGCCCACCATCCCTGTTCCCAACTCCTAATCTCTTATACCAATTCAATTTTTGCTTTTTTTGTAGCAGTTATCACCTCCCAGTATACTTCATATGTTTTAAAATATGATATTGCTTATTTATTGTTTATTCCCCATTTTCCCTGATACCCCTCACACACACAGATGTAAACTTCTTGAGAGCATGGATGGAAGTGGGAGTAAGCTTTGTGTGTTTGTGGAACAGAGAGTTGGTGACTCTCCAGTATGACAGTGGACAAAGAGGCTAGAAAAACAGAAAAGGGGCTGGAGTGCTGGTAAGCCATATTGGACTTTATCCTAAACCCAACAAAGAGCTATTGAAGGATTTTAAGTAGAAGAGAGACAATATGGCACTCATCACCTTACAATATATTCCATAATTTACATATTTATTATATTTGGTTTTTATTGTTTGTCTCACCCTACTAGAATGTAAGTTCCATGATGGCAGGGCTCTTTGTTTTATTATGGATATATCCCAAATGCCTACACTAATACCTGACACTGAAGCATTCAATTAATATTTGTCATATGAATGAATGAAATTTATCAAAACAGAGATATTTAAGTGAGTGGTGTGCTTTAAATTAGATACATTGTAAAAACAGCTGGAGAAAAAAACAAGAAAAAAACAGTTGTATGGTTGTTCTGGTGATTCCACAGTGGTACAGAATTTTGGGGGGACTCTTCTTTTGGAGTTGCCTTTTGATAGCTCTTAATAGAAAGATTTTATATTTTAGAATATAATAAGCTGAGATGTAGGTGGCACATGCCTATAATTCCATCTACTCAGGAGGACAGGTGGAAGGATATCAGGAGCCAGGAGTTGGAGATCAGCCTGGGCAATAAAGCAAGACTTTGTCTCTAAAAAGTAATTATTAACAAAATTAGATAGACAATAAGGTAGCACATGACATATTCACTACTCAGAGAGAGATGAACAGGAAGATCACTTGAGAACAAGCCAAGAAGTTTGAGGCTACGTGAGCTATGATCACACCACTGCACTTCTAGCCATGGGCAACAAGTAAGACAACCTCTTAAAAAAAAAAGTAAATAAGATATTAGTTCTAAATGACTTTTTTGGTTGTTTCCAAATAATCATAATTACCTACACAAGATAGACTAAAGCAACACTGATATAGAATATATAAACAAATAATATCATCAGTTGTATTACATAGCACTCATTAACAAGAACCTATTGGCCCTTAAGAAAACCGAGGCAGTAAGTGGCTCAAAAAGACTATAATACCTAACAACTCAGGGAGAAGGCAGAAACAACAAGGAAGCAGAGATGCATCAGAGATACAGAGATTACAAACCAGCCTAGAGTGAGACAAACATCTGCTCCATAAAAATAGAAGAATTAATTGCCAACATAAAAATATAATAAATACATAAAAAATCAGACTAGAGGACAATTGGTGGCTTATCCGGTTTTTTGAACTGGTGTCAGCTACTCGAGAGAGGCTAAGACAGGAGAGAACGCTTGAGCCAGGAGTTGGAGGTTTGCTGATGAAATAGAATAAGAAACACAGGCATTCACAACATAGCATAGAGCACAAAAGAGAACATACAGATCATACAAAAAAAAAAAGAGAAAAAATATGGCACATACCATATCAGATTTTATGCAGAAATTTTATCAGAAGAGAGACAGACTGCTAAGCAAGAGATAGCAGTGGATGAGACTTGAATATAACTTATGGCAAGAATACATAAAAAAGCCACTGTCAAAAGTATCAATAGGCAGTAGGAGTATAAGTGATAAATAATAGGACGCATTATTAGAAAGGCCAATAAAATAATATAATAGGCAAGGAACCTAGAGGAGAAAGTAGGAAAATAAGTAAACAATAGAATACAAATACATAATGTAGACCAAAGATAGAAGATAATTAATATAAGACATATAATATAGAGATGAGTTAAGAAATAGAAATAATTTAATAAGAGAATATCACAATCTGTGATGGAAATTTGAAATAGACCTTCAGAAAAGGTAAACATTAGAAGAAAACAAACTATTAATAACACATTCCCACATATAATAACCATACACTTAACTCAAATCATGTCTCCAATTTCTTCAACACATATTAGTACTGGCTTTCAATATGGACTTCTATTCCAACTTCTAATCATACTCCTTAAGCAGCATCAAAAAAAAAAAAACAAAAATCACATATTGCTGCTGTATTTTTCTTTCTAAAGCCCTGCTCTGATGATATTATTCTTATGATTAGAATTAGATACTTTCCTGCTTCTGACTCAATGGCTCACCTTCACTCACATGATTAGGTCCAAGCTCCTTAGTGTGTGTATAAGGCCTTCTAATATATAGGCTTTGCTTACCTCTCTGATGTCATTTCTCACCAGTTCTTTTTTTACTTTGGTAATATCAAACTAACCCCTCCTAAAATGTTTTCCAGCATACCCTTTCCTTGCCATATTAACCCTGACACATCATTTAAGACTTAGCCCAGTTGTCATTTTCAGGAAACTTTCCCTAACTGCATCAATAGTTAGGTACTCTTCTTTTTTGCCCTTATAACACTGTATATATATCTTTAACATTGCCCTTAACTGTTTTTTCTGGGTCTCCATGTAGGTTGCACTCCTTGAGGGCTGAGACCTTTTTTTTGTTTGTTAGTTTTCATAGTGCCTAATACTTGTTAGGTGCTTTCTTTTGTTGAACTGAATAAAAGTGGATTCTGTGTGCCCTCCGCCCCCCGCATTCTCCATATATCTCAGCTCAAGTGCCAGCTTCTCCCTCATATACTCCCCAGATTGCTCCATAAATTGTATTTATGTTAAACCTTTGTTTAACCTATGTTAAAATTTGTTAAACCTTTGTTGATTTATTAGGATTCTCCAATAGCTTCATTCTCTTACTTTCTGTAATCCCTTTACCATTATTCAGGACTCTATAGCCTGGGAAAGGAATCACTGCTAGAGCAGCTGGCCCTGAAGTTTCGGACCTGGGTAGTATTGAGTCCTCAGCGCCTGGAGTTAGTACAGCTGCTGGGCCTCGCAGATGTGTTCACGGTAGACGAGAAGGCTGGCCGCATCCATGCTGTGGACCATATGGAGATCTGCAATTCCACCATGCTGCATTGGAACCAGACTCACCCTACCATTGCTATCCTTCCCACAAGCCGGAAAATCCACAGGTCCCACCCGGATATCCACATCATCCCTTACTCTGACCATTCCTCCTACTCTGAGCTTCGTGCCTTTGTTGCAGCACTGAAGCCTTGCCAGGTGGTTCCCATTGTCAGTCGACAGCCCTGTGGCGAATACTTTCAGGACAGCCTGAGCCCCAGGCTCTGTATGCCCCTGATTCCAGACTCTGTGCAGCAATACATGAGTTCCTCCTCCAGAAAACCGAGCTTTCTCTGGCTGTTAGAAAGAAGGTTAAAAAGACGGAGAACCCAGGGTGTCGTGTTTGAATCCCCTGAAAAAAATGCTGATCAATCTCAAGCTTACAGAAACTCAAATCAGGCCAAGAAATGGAAACTTTCATCCTGGCCTGGGGACCTTAAGAAGCAGCCCTGCTACCATCCTTTGAAGATCAAGAAGCAATTGTTCCCAAACCTGTGTAGCAAAGAATGGAATGGGGCAGTCTCTTTCTGTGAGTCCCAGAAGAACGTTACTGTGCCCACTGCCCCCTTGGGATTTTCAGTGCACTTAAGGTCTATAGAGGAGAAGTTTATTTGTCCAAAAACCAGGGAGGACATTGGTTTAGAGCCCCCCTTGGTACTCAGGGGAGATGGCCCAGCAACCACAGGGAACCAGAGTGCCTGGGTGGGCCATGGTTCTCCCCTGTCTCACAGCAAGGCCACACCTCGTCTAGCTACTGAGTTCAGGGGCCTGGCACTAAAATACCTTCTGACTCCAGTGAACTTTTTCCAGGCAGGGTATTCTTCCAGAAGCTTTGACCAGCAAGTGGAAAAATACCTTAAACCCTTGCTGAAGTACAGACAGGAAAGTATAGAATGATAATCTTGTTTGATCCCACATTGCAGTTTTGAAGGTAGTGGCTGATGGCTAGTAGGGAAGAGTTTGTTTTGGGCCTCACTTTTCTATCTTTACAGGATACGTATAGGCTTACCCTGGAATAGCACTTCCCAAAGCTTGTTCATTGGAGTTCTCGTGCCTATGGAATCCTTAGTTTTACAGTTGACTTTTCGTTTTTTTG